GAGGGAGAAACGACGAATGCGAGCCCGAACTTTGCCGAGTTTTGCCGAAGCACACGCTGCATTGGCAAAAGTGAAGTCGTTCTTTTATGCGCTTAATATTAGTGAACGTGACGAAGAAAACATTTTGAACGTGGAAAGTGCTCTGTTTGGCCTAAAACGTAAAGTTTCGACAAACCAGTTGTCCATTTAAGACTTTTTTGGTAAAAAGAAGTAAATAACTTTGAAAGAGAAACATTGTTTGTTTTTTTAAAATTTTTAATGCTTTCCCGCATCTATCGTTTTCCCGCATTCATCGTTTTTATTTCCCACCCCCGCCGAAAACGATGCATCGAGGTTTCACTGTATATTACAGTGAACTTTGGAAATACATTAATAACAAGAGAGAAAAGGAGTACTCCTACTTTGAGTGCATATATTATCTGAATCCATTCTTTGTGATTCTGTATTCCTCATTAAACTTTGTGTTCATTTACTGCAGGTACAAGCCAATGTTTAGAAACCTAATCAAATTACAGACATCACATTGAACAAGAGCATAACTTATTTTCTTTGCACTTAATTGAGTATTCTTTACATTAAAATAACTTTTAGTGATTCATGAGATGTACTATATGTTTGTACTGTGACTTTATAATAGTCTCACCTATACACTGTCCAGTTTGACAACGGAATTCATGTGGCCTGCAATCAGGGCAGCCAACTTCATCACTAGCATCAGGACAATCATTGTGTCCATCACATCGCCAAATACTTGGTATGCAGTCTTTGTTAGATCCAGCAGGGGCAGTGCACGTGAAGTGATCTGGTCCACAAGCAGGCAATGCACTACATGTCCGACCGTCCTCATGCAGGACCAGGCTCTGAGGGCAGGAACACACAACTGGAATGGAACTGGATATACTGCTCACAGGAGATGGCACGGCCATGCAGAGATGAGAACAGCCAGCCTGATGGGGAGCTGCACAAGCATGGTTTGAGTACATCTGTAACACAGTGTAATAAGTCTTTATTATTAATTTATTTAAACTTGTATAGATGTAACATACCTTTTGGTTTACGATATATTTGCTTAACTTTTCTCACAGTGACACACTAATATATACAGTAGTTCAATATATTACATCACAACAGGTCATGCAAGTAAGTAACTTATACTATGAGTTGGAAATGTGACTAGAATTGTGAAAATAAGATATATGTAAAAAAATTTCAAAAACTGCCACTAAGAAAACCAAGAAGACAGAAAAATAATATTAAAATGAAAAACAAAGAAACTAAATACAAGGATGTGAATTCCAATGATTCAGGATAACATCTATCCAGTGGCAGCCTTTTAGGACCAATTACTGAACCTCTGGGTTCAATTATCATATAGTTAACTTGGTCATGGTTTTTACCTTCTCACTAGGAAAATGGACTGCCACTATATACACAAGGTGAGCCAAACGTGTCAATATGGTTCCTCGATTGCTCCCATCAGTCTTATTCGCTCGTTCAATCTGTGACTGGTCTTTATCCACCCAGTACAAATAATCACCATGCACAGCCAAGCTTGATACTTGAACTAGATCTGTGTTTACCAATACTTTCCTGCAAAGAGAAAATGCAATAACATACACACAAGTAACATTATGCTGCCACAGTTGGTTCTATCTCACATATGTAAGCACTTCGAACTGATTCTTGTTATTTTTTTAATTCAGCTGCATATGTTGGTACTGAACAGCAAAATGATTATGAGCAAAGTATTGTAAAGAATACAGAAAGTTCAAGTTCAAGGAAGAGTCAATGAAATGTCAAAGATGTTGTTTACACATTGTTGATAGTATCATCATAAGTGCTGAGGAAGATACCGAGACCTAAAACAAATGAAGCAATAGAGGATGAGGAGCTTCAGAATTTGTATTCTTCACCAAATATAGTTACAAAAATTGAATCAAGAAAAATGAGATAGGCAGGACATGTAGCAAACATAGTAAAGATGAGAAACACATACAAATTTTGGCTGAAAAGACTCAAGGGAAGAAAGCACCTGGGAGAGATACACAAAAATGGTGCGATATTAAAATGGGTCTCTGAGAAACAGAATGTGGAAATGGAAAATCAATTGGAACTAACTCAGAAGAGGATCCAATGTAGAGCTTTTGTTAGTGTTGTAAGGAACCTTCAGGTTCAATAAATCCAGTGAATTTCTTTACCAAAAGAATGAATTTAACTATCAAGAGATCATAGAAGATAATGTACCATGGGGGTTCATTAGTTACATGGACATGCACTTCTCTCTCTCTTCCACCTAATTTGCTGATGACAAACAAGTGCACATAAAATGCTGTACATGCATTTGTTGGTTTATTTCATTTAATTACACTTCAACTTCTGCATAGGTTAAAATATTGTCAGGTGATGGGATTAGTAAGAATGATGAATCTCTAGGAATAATCAGTCTCTGGGTTCAGATTCAAACAGCAATCATATTAACAAATGCTACACCAGAATAATGTTTCTTTGGACAAAGATACTGCACAACTTTTCACGCCATTTATTTAAAGTGCAAGTCACTCCAGAGAAACCTTACGCATCACACACGTAACAATAAATACACTAATTAACAGTTCTGTGGACATGCAAATAATCTTTAAACATTTGATACATATCCTATATTTTATCTGCCATAGCTTTATCTCACATATTTACTCACCTCCCTTTCCCATCCAGATCTGATGATTCAATTTGATTGGGCTGGGCCCAAAACAACAGGTCTGCCATTCTATCAACTGCTAATGCAACCAAATTCTCTAAATGTGTTACAACAATCACACGTGACTTCCCATCCATGCCAGCCCGTAAAATCCGTGGCACTGATCCAACATCCGTCCAAAACATTAATCTGAAATTAATGATAAAAAAATGAAATGATTCATAAATAAGAGACAGAATATAGCTGTGAGAAACAGGCGATGAGAGGACAGCAATGTGGTGGAACTTAGGGAGATGGGCTGTGTGGATTGCAGACAGATTAAAATGGCAGCATCATAAGAATTTACACAGTTCACCTTTACAATAGTAAAAGAATTCAGTCCAGGTGCTATAATACCTGTAGCAAGACAAAACAAAAGCAGTGATTTCCATAAGCTGAAGAGAATTCACAAGGATAGTGTATAGACGTAAAATAACCTGTCTTCAAAGAATTATAAGAATGATTATTATTAAAAAGGCATGCACAAACACTATAATCACACATACCTATGGTGCATGCAGGCTAAAATACACTACAATATAAACTCTTCCATTATACACTAACAACAATTAAATTTCATTAATGTACACAGTCTACTTTGAAGTTTGTCTGCTCCAAACAGTAAACAAGATGTAAACCAGCCAATTTTGCTTTACTAGTAGATGATGCAGCAAATTTAAAATGCGGGGAAAAAATGACTTCACAGAAATAAAAAACTTTGGAATGAACAAGACAGGAAAGAAAAGAAAAGGGCAGCTAACATGTGTAACTTTGTTTTTTGTAAATAAACAAAAAGAATAACATAAGTTGCAGTATTTTTACATACCCCTTTTCTGGATGCAGAGCGATGTTGCGTGGTTTCTCTCCATCAACTTTGACCACAACTCCAACAGCTGAACCATTGTCCAGCCTGGTCACATTTATAGCATTTGTGTTAGCACAAGTCCAGTACAGAAGTCTCCCATATGGGTCCACAGCCATGTCAAATGGGAAGTGAGTGCTACTAGAAGGAACAAAAGCTGGCCCAGCATGTGTGCCGTTGTCATATGCTCGTTTGATGGACTGAGCACGGCCATCAATCTGTTACAAATAATCTGTATTAAAAGAATTCTAGTTCAGATCCTCATAAACCATTCTCTAAAAGCTATTTTTAATATCATCCTTCCACCTCCTTCTTGAAGTTCAGTCACTACTTTGCATTTTCATTTTCCCCAAGAGTTACATACCTTCACTTGACTGTACTGACAACCTCTGGTGACTTGTACAAATTACAAAGTACCTCATTATGTACTACCCTAACTGTACACTTACTTCTTCCCTCTTCATTTTGAAACATCTGCAATTAATGTTAATTAACATTCTCTCCTCAACAGCCCAAGTTGAATACGCATATAAAACCAACTGGTAAAATAACTGTCCTATTTATTTTAATCTTATCTGCCTTAAACAAATGATTAAAAGGATTTCCTTACTTCCTACTTTTCTTACTTTCATGAACCTCATTTTTGTTTCTTACTGTTGCTTTCATATATTTAAATTCTGAAACATTTATAAAAATTATTGTCTTTATGACAGTATTTATTTATGATATTTCTATTGTAATGGGAACTTATGAACCAAAGAAAGCTGTGATTCAAACCAACCTGCGGGTAACACACAGCATTGCACGTGCATAAATATAAAAATTAACTGTATATACACATGCACATAAACTCTCACCCAGTAAATAAACCGTGAGACAGGATCAAATTCAACAGCTTTAATGTTCTTCACGCTGTGGATGGGAAGAACAACATCAGGACAGTCATCAGTGTCAGGAAGTAAGCGACTCAGTGAATTCTTCTGACCAAACAGTAGGAAAGATCTTGGTCCTGTTGAAGCAGATACACAAGTGAAAGAATAACACAGCAAGTCTCAGTGAACTCTACATAGTATTACATTTATATAAACTATTCCAAATAATGGAACTCATACTTAACAACTGGATAAAATAAATACAGTTTAAAATCAACCTTAAATTGTGTAAATTTTATTTGAACATAGTTGCAACTTGCCTTTTGATGAAGGCAGTATGTTCCTCTGAAACGCTGGTATTTACTTTCAAGTCCAAAGAGCATTATAACCCAGAAGACCACCAAAGACATCTTCATATTCCTCTATCCCTAATCAGTTTTCCCAACAATTCCTCTGTGTTGGAGATTATAAGCATTAATTTCTCTCACATGAGTTACAATGTCACACAGTTTTTCAACTTGCCTATACAAGTCTTGTTTCCATGTCCAAGTGTGTAGTGAGTGGGACAACCACAGTAGTGTGTGCTAGACTGCCTGCCGACCATCCCACCATGACTGCTGGATACTGCAGGCAATGCCAGGCACAGGTGTGAACATCCGCCATTCCCTATAGCACACTGATTCCAAGCTGACTGCCGTGAAGTGTGAAAAACAAGGATATCTGTGATAAACTCCAACTTGTTGTGAATCACAGTTCTGTTTGAACCATTTGTTTTGTTGGCTCGCTCAATAATGCCAGTTTTCCAGTCTGCCCAGTAGATGTAATCCTAAAAACAATTTTTTCAATTACTCCATAGCATAGTGTCTACCATGAAAAGTATGGTAATAGTTATTCAACTGATAATCTTTATATTTATGGAACCAGTAAGCTCTCCATAAGACCATTATCTTCAGACACCTGATTCCACTCTAAACCTTAACACAGTATTTTTCTATAGTACATTTTAATACTATCCGTATATATCCGAAGTTTCTTATTATGTGATTTTCTCCATCCTGTTCTTATTTCCTCTTTCTCAGATACAAATACTCTCTTCAGCAGTTTTGTCTTACACGCCCTCAACCTACGTGTTTCTTTACATGACAGACAAAACTTTCAAACCTGCATAAAACAGGTAAAGCTTTTGAACAACTTTAAATTTTTAAACAGCATAAGGGAAAATAAAAATATTCAAAACTAAATGGTAACAAGAATTTCTCAAGTTTAACCTCTTCTTAATTCTGTCATTCATACAATTTTGATTTGTTACTGTCATTACAAAGCACTTTGTTGTATCATCAAAGGATTTACCATAAATATGTCTTTTATGTCCTTCCTTGCATCTAATCATTTGTGGTTTTCTTTATGACGTCTTTGTCTAACAAATTAACAAAACATCCTCTGATACAAAAACTAAATTCAATCTTGTTAACCTGAAGTTCTTATTACCTTTGGTCTTGAAATGAGAGCAAAAGTTATGCTTCACTTACAAGCACAGCTGTTGTTTCCACAGTTTTCACACATATTTAATATCACATGCTTCTAAATGCTATGAAAAATGATTTCAGGAGAATAAAGATATCTGTGTTAAAAACTTCCTGAAAATGTAGGACTAAAATTCTTCCATGAAGTCTGAATATTTCACCTCCAAAGTCACACTAAAAATCTTCCAGTACAAGGACATGGAGTAAGTTCAAAAGTTACAATGAAGATAATACTACTACTTTAAGACAAAGAATTCATAATACCTGTATTTTATTAAAAACAGCATATCAGCCTGTAGTTCATATCAAAACTGTATCATCATGCACATAAATTTTTTAATAATCAACCACATATTTGAGGACTTTTTAAAAGTTATATTTTGTTTCCTGAACTTTTATGACATACCTCTTTATCCTGGCACCACTAAATTGTAAAGTTTCAACTGCACCTGTTATGGAAATTATAGTTTATTTTCTCTTAGTCTTTGTCCAATTTCAGCCGTGAAATTTTGATGTGTTTGACCTCACTCACCAAACTACGGGTCCTGCTTATTAATTTGCATATAAAAGCCAATGTGAGTAATCACACAATAAATTTAAACCCACAATTATTATAACTTTTAAGAATTGTATCATGATTCTTTCACAGTTTTTTTAATATCTGATATCCTTACCAAGTACTGAGTTAGTCCAAATGGTTTCTCTATGTTCTCGCCAATAACTACAGCTCTCCCCTTTCCTTCCAGATCAGAGCTCTCAATGACATGTTGTCCTAGTTCTGTCCAATAGAGGCGGTGCTGAACATAGTCTATTGTCAAACCATTGGCACGTCCCACCTTCGGCACAATAACATGCCGGTGCATTCCATCCATAGCTGCCTTTGATATGCAGGCTTGAGATCCCCAATCACTCCAGTACATGAATCTGCAAAGTTTTACAATAGTGAAATATTATTACAATAAACTGTAACAGACTTAAAAATATTATTCTGAAAAAATAAAATAAAAATAAAAAATATAGTAAGTACACCAAAGACTCACCCTTCTCTTGGATCTAGTGCCAAACTGCGAGGTTCATCTATGTCTTTCCATATTATAACCTTCCGAGAGCGTCCATCTAATCGAGCAACTTCTATCCTTTTGCTACCCGTATCAGTCCAGTATATATTATGAGCCACCCAGTCCACAGCCATACCTGAACATATTTACAGTAAATACAGTGTAACCCCATTTAATGGTTCTTGATGTAGGTAGGACCTTTCCTAAATTACTCATAATATTACATTTCTAAGATCTAGCATGAATCTTATCTTTAAAAATGAACAATAATGAATAATAAGCAATGAAAGAAAATATATACTACTGCACGGAACATTTGCATTGGTCATCAAAATTCATAATATTTATTTTATTACATAATAAACAAGGTGTCCATAAATTAGAAATGACAACACTACTACCACAGCTACTGCTACCACCACCACTATTACCATTACTACAAAACCAGCAGCAACAATGCCATAAGATGTCAATATTTTCCCACATCCTCATACCTACTAAGAATAACTTTACTTGTAATATTATCACAAACTTTCTTCAAAATAATTATGACAATGATATCACACAAACAAGAAAAATAATAATGACATCCACACACCTTCTGGTGAATCCAAGCCAAATTCAACTATCTTCTCCATATCTGAACCATTCATAAAGGCACGACTTATAGCTTTCACTTTTACATCTGTCCAATAGATACGATTGTCATTGATGTCAAAATCCAAAGCACTGAGAAAAGAGAAAACATTACAATGCAGACATTTTTGTAAGGTTGCAGTGATCATGAAGGAAAACACTAGACGCTGGAAGAAGTATCTATTCAAATGTGTTTCAGCCAGAACACATTTCTGAAAACAGTGGATACTCTTACTTTACAATCTATACACCTGTTTTATCATGTATTGTACTTATGCAATTGCCTGCATCATGTTACACATAGAAGAGGAGTAAGAAACCAGAGGAAAAAGAGAAAGAGGGCATGACAAATAGAATGTCAATGAAGATGAGATGAAGGAAAGGATGAGAAAGAGAAGCAAGAGGGAAAAAAGGTAAACTAAATTTGACAAGGATGAGATGCAGCAAAGATGAAGAAGAAGGTAACACTTCCTAGTAATTCAAAAATCGACTTGAGAATTGTACATTAACAACAAATGTAAAGTATTCCAACCTTCATTTGATCCAGACCTTCTTGTATTGTTCTTAACATAATAGCATACAAACTTAAACACAAAACAATTCTTTTGATGAATGTACAATTAAAGGAAAGGGAAAATAATGGGAGAAATGCAGTAGAGAGGGGAAAACATTTCAGATTAGGACACATACCTGGCATCTTTTACTCCTGTCACAGGAATGACTGCATCATTGTTACCATTCTCAATACTTATGCGACCAATATTCTCCTTTCGAGCAAAGAGAAGGAATGCCTCTGGAACTACACACGTTCTTTCATTTGCTGCTAATTCATAACCTGCCAAAAACCAGAGTGCTTTCAAATGCAGTTTATACATTTTTTTTGCAATTTACACTTTCCCACACTTTATACAATTTCCCATAAATCAACAGAAAATTGCAAATACAGTCCAAATTTAGTAATGAAGCATCCTGCTGCTTATATACACTGTTATTTTATCACACGCATTAACACTATTCTTCAAGTGTCGGAGAATACTGAATATTGTGAATAATGGAATACGGCAGAGTGTGTAGTTGTGTTATGTGAGGACCTGTGGTTTGTAAATACAGGATCCTACTGTAACTTATCAATATAAGTATGAAAGGAGAGTTTATGATCACTCCTGATTTGTGAAAACTGAAAATAATTCAAGAAGTAAAAGAAATCATAACTGACAAGGATATGTATGATATTCAACTGTTAAATGTAGACTTCACTTACCAATCTGACAGGCACAGACATAATCATGTGGTCTGTTGAGACACAAATGACTGCAGTTTCCATTGTTATAGATACACGGATTACTCCCTTTCACCTCCCCAAGTCGAACCGCCTTCAGTCCCATCAAGTTGGGCAGCTGGTCAACTATCACTTCTCGTCCATTTCCAGTAACTTTAATTCGATCAATACTTCGCCTTTGCCAGTCTGTCCAATACAAGTAGTCCCCAAGAAGACTCAAACCAAACAGATGAGGTAAGTTGTCACTTATAACTTCACGACGATCCTTTCCATCAGCCATATTGGCAACCTTGCGATAAAAAAAATAAAGTATTACTTAAACCATACAGAGAAAAAAGGAAATAAGAGTATAAACAAACTCAAACTTGAGATGCATACATTTTCTAAATGTGTTCTTTGCAACTGGATACCTTACTAGCCTTGATGTTTATTTATTGCAGACAATTTTTATTCGTTCATGTTCAAAAAACTACAAATATTACACTGCAACATACAAATAAATACTTTCTTTGTATATCACCAAACAACAACCATACCAATAAGGTTTTAAATAAAAGTTGTATGAATTTAATAAGAAATTCATAAGTTTAGTTTCAAAGCCAATTTACTTTCAGTTCTAGACCTGGAAATAACAATTGTGGATTGAATGCAATGGTAATCCACATAACATAATAGACGTGCTTAAGCAACATACCATGAAGACATGGATAAGTGAGGTAAAGCTCATTGTATTCTTAATCCTCACACTTGATATAAGAGACCAGTTTCATGCTCAGGTTTTACCCAGGAAAAAACCCTTCCAGACCCAATGAACAGAAAGGGACTTATATTGAAATGTGTCAGTATGTTTAATTAGGGGCACTAACACAGAATGTCATGATAACTCATCCAGCCAGATTGGAGTTTACGTACAGTAAATTTGGAATTAATCTTCAAACATTAAACTCATTTTAAAACACAATCAAATACTATCCGTGAGCATTACAAAATCCAAACTGTTTGAACAACCCTAATATTCCTATTCAAAAAATCTTCCCTTGCTGGAGCTTAGCAAACATCACAACATTTCTTACCTCAATCTTATCAGTCTTAGCATCACACCAGTAAATCTTGTCCCTCTGTAGATCCAAAGCAATGCCATTAGGCCAACCAAGTTCCTTGTCTATCAAGCGTATGCGGCTGGAGCCATCCAGAGCAGCACGTTCTATCTTGGGGTCCTTCTCATTCCAGTCAGACCAGAACATCCAGCCCTTCTCTGGAGCAACAGCAATAGCCCGAGGTTCATACAGATCTTCGTTAATCAACACCTGCATAAAACAATTCCCTATTAATACAGCAGAAGCAAACATATTTCTTGAATATCCTGCACACTACTTTATACAGAAATGTGACCATAAAAAGGGATGCAGATTATTCAAGATGAGGCTGACAACATAACTCCAGGTGCCACATTAACTTTCAAAATCTTCTCTTCCTTTCACATATCTACACACCAAGCAAAGTGCAAATACAGTGTATGAGTGAATGTTTATGTGTTCTACTTAACAATTACTTATAGTTAGTGAATACAAGCAATTCAAGAAGCAGAATCAAGCAAACAGCAGAAAATTTGAAATCTGTAAAAATGTATATGATTATAGAAAATACAATGATTTGATGCTGCAAAATAGTGGTAGTCTGATAGGTGGAGGGCTTTTTATGGCCAGAGGGCAGCACCTTGGATGTATGGTATCAACTGAAATGTGTGACAGTAATACAGCTGAGATGTTAATATATGCCATTCTTGTGTTATAGGATGTAAGACCATTGAAAGAAAAATAATGTATTGGAAATAAAAATACAAAGCTCAAATTTCAATATATAATGTGGTATGTAGAACTGTACTTGATACTACTAATTTCAATTTTTTTTACTTTTTCAATTATCATTACGCTTCCCCCCCCCCCCCCCCAATCTTCAGGTGAACCTATAGTCAGCTGCATAGAGAAGATTATACAAAGAAAAAATACTGAAATACATGAGGAACCTATGTTTTGTTACAATATTTTTCAATTGGTTTAATCTGTGTTTTGTATAATTTCAAATATGTAATCCTGGGCATCTTTTTACCAAAGTATCTGCGAATTTAGTGCTTTACCTTTCTAGAAGCTCCTGTCAATCTTGCAACTTCTATTCGGTCAGTGCCAGTGTCTGTCCAATACAGGTTGCGGGCCACCCAATCCACTGCAACTCCATCAGGATGTTCAACTTCTGTTACTATCAGATTTTCTTGCCCTGAACCATCTAGTTGAGCTCGTTGTAGTGCCCTGGCCTGAATTTAAATAAAAATATAATATGATTTTAATACTCTCAGGACCGGCCAATTTGTTATCAACTTTACTGCAACTGCCGGTCACTTTTTAAAGAAAAACAACTTTTCACAAAAGGAAAACAAACTCTAATTCACACTCTCAAAGTGGGACATCCAGGAACATTCATTACAAATACAATATTCGCAAACTCATCAGCATGTTACTGCTGTTATTAGAATATAACACTAATAACAACAGTATTATCATTAATGACTCATTATTTCTATCACCACAGTAATTTGGGTTCAGACAAAAATTACTGCATGCAAGTAATGCCTTATTTAAGCAAGATTTAAGGTTCTCATGGCAGTGAGTATATAGTAGGTTATCTTCTGGGTTTTAGCGCCATATAGACTGCAAAAGTTTACCAATGTTTCAGAGGTCCTTGCATCATGGTGATGATGGAGGCAGTAACATTAACCACAAAATAAAAATAAAATAATACATCAGACATCATAAATTCATTCCAAAACTTCTGTTTTGTACAGTGCTTAAAAAAAGTAAAAGCAGCAGTGACTCATCAGAATAAACTTGATCTTTAAAGTTTTATGCAACTTACCTCATCATCTGTCCAGTACAAATAACCATCAACAGGATCATAATCTATTGCAATGGCATGCTTGATTCCAGTCAGAGGAAGAACAAAGTTGGTGTAGTCTGGTGAGTCCAAGGAGATGGTGCAGATTTCAACTCTCTGGACAAGAAGTAACATCTCCTGAGGACCTGAAACAGCAAAACACCAGAACTCTGCTGAAAATCATGCAGGATGGTGCAGCAATTAATACTACAGAAAGTTACCAAGGCAAACCTCATCTGAATATAAGCCATATTACTGGCTATTCTGAATAAAATGCAAGTAAAGAGAGTATGATTCATTTGCAGATTATTTATCAATTTCTTCTTCTTCATCAGCCTTCATTTCTAGTACAGTTGGCGTATACAAATTACTTTTGTAGTGTCCAAATGGGGCTATTTCAAAATGACCAGTCTGAAGTGCCTCATGACAAAATATTCTGTACTTCAAACTTGTTACAATTGTATTGACTAAACACACTTTACTATTATAATGAAATATTAATACAGAGGAATCAAGAAACAATATGACGCTTCACTGATTAGTGCACCAAGAAAATATGTATGCAAAGTCCTTCCCTGGCTTTCAACATGTGATGAGTATCACAACCAAGGCTGCAAATGTTATCAAATCCAAATACCTCAACCACAGGCAGTACCAAAACTTGGTCAGTCAATTATGAGCTCAATGTGAAGAACTAATCTATTATTTTGAAGTCTGACAGCTGAGTCACAACAAAATGCAAGTGGCTACAAGTTGATAAGAAATGGGGAACATGTTCTCAGGCCATGAAGAGGCTGAGAACCCCTGGTCTAGGAGATTGAGAAAAACTTCCCTTCCCCTCCAAAAATCCCCAGTCAATATACAGCCCAGCCACAAGTTTCAAATCAGTTACCTCTCAAATACAAGTCAGGTACTTTATTACAGAGCTAACCTGTAATAAAGTCCTCTCTGGTGAACAGCTGTACTAACATGGTATAAAAATCTGACATATTGGACATAAGTACTTTCCAAGATGTTTAACTTTAACTACATTGTATGAATACAGCTTATCACTTTTGAATGGATTTCATCGCATTTAGTCACCACAAAAACTTCTGGCTTTTATATTAAGCAAACTAACCTGCCTCCTGCCTGGATCATCTGAAAAGAAAATTCTCATACACCAATAAACAATTTCAACTTATTTATTATATTTCACCATATTCTTTCAGAGAATTACCATTAGCACATGTTGTATTGTCTAGAAGCTTGACACCTGTCGGACATGCACATGAGTAACCTGGTGGATATGGAGCCAAAAGGCACAGATGTGAGCATCCACCATTTTTATTATGACAAGGAGTGTCTCCGGGTGGTTGTCTCTGTGCATCCCACACATGAATATCCATGGGAACATAATCACCATGGATAATCTCCTTGGGTGGTGAAATGGATGATTTGTCATAAACATGAATTGACCTACAAGACATAAAATATTATCAGATTAAGCAAATACTGCAAGGTAGGCATGTGCAAATTGGTATTAATTTTTTTATTTAAAACACCCATTCATATTTAAATGTATATTATAAACATTTATTTAAACGGTGTATAATACTTTTCTGATAAAAATGCTTATAAAATACTTATTTTTAAAAATATTATTCAGACTTCCCCCAGATCACTGGTAAAAATATCACCAGCAATAATTTATTTTCCCTTAAGCCTTCTAGCTACACTACATTATATTAAATGTCGCTGCAGCATCTAGGATAACTCAATAAAAAAGTCTTCCTAAGGCAGCTTACAGATCAATGGTAATTCGACCATTTGTGAAAGAAAATGGTTGTGCATCCTTGCATTAGCCCTTACTTATATAGAAGCACATATATACAAATGTGACATCAAAATCTAAATAAGTAATTCAACAGTACAAAAATTGCAACTCACCATGTTTTCCAATCTGTCCAATAAAGTTTGTTCTGGAACATAGTTAGAGCAAATGGATAGTTCACTCCCTCTTTAATAACAGTCCTCCTGTTCCGGCCCTCGTAGTCCATAACCTCTATAAACTTGAGTCTTCCATCCAACCAGTACACCAACTGGGCATCAAAATCCACAGTCAATCCATTTGGCCAGAATATGTTCTCATGAACAATGACTTTGCGAGTTGTAGGATCGCCGTTCATGCCAGCACGTTCAATTTTTGGAACTTCGCCCCAATCTGTCCAGAACATTATGCTGTCAACAGAAAGAACAGAAATTAAATGGGCCACGATGCAACTGAGAAATACTACAATAGCAAACTTTCAATATTGGGTAAGGATACGTCTAAGTAAAAAAATGATATAATCATAGAAATAAATATAAAGCCCTAGAATAAGCACAACTTTTACAAATAACATAATTTTGTTATTAATTGTGTTTCCTCTCACATTCATTGCTCTACATAAGTAATTTCATTATTACTGAAATAAACATTTACAGTAGAAAGCTATTTTGATTTGTTTGCAATTATAAGAAATTCCCTCAATTTTTTGGTGACACAAAAGTCTTACACAGGTAAAAATGTGGTAGTTCATGGAAAAACGTGTGTCAGCTGAGAAGATAATTCTCCCATTCATTGGTTCAGATAACTGAGATTATACAGCACATGATCCTAGGTTGTAGCAGTGTCCAGGTTGTGACTTGATACATCATATCGAGGAAAACCAATTCAGATAAGAAAAACAATGAAATTGCTAATGGAACACAGCTGTAATATCTGACACATAACAAACAATCACAAAATGAACATTCATAACACCAGAAAGCCTTGAAGTAGAACAATGGAACAACATATTAGGATACTATACTAAAGAAACAGAAACAAGAATGAAGCACAAGGTACCTCTGCATGGGAACAAGGGCAATGGCGCGAGGCTGGTCTATGTCTTCCCAAAACAGAACTTTCCGATGTTCCCCAGTGATGGTGGCAACTTCAATGCGGTTGGTCTCGCCATCAGTCCAATATAATTTCTGTGTTAACCAATCACATGCAAGTCCAGCTGGTGAAATCAAACCTGTTGTAACCACTCCAACCTGGAAACAAAAACAGTAACAGTAAAACAATGTGCAACATTATAATTCCAGACGAAACAACACTGGGAATATTGGTATGTTCTGACCTGTATTTGTCCATTAAAACCTACATAATCAGTGACCTCTTTCAAATTTACAAGTTAACCCATAACCTAAATAAGCTTGGGTAGCTCAGTCAGCACAATGCATGACTATGGACTGGATGACCAGAGTCTGATCCTTGGTATGGCAAAGGATTTTTCTTCTAACCTCTGTGTCAGGACAGCTTTGAGGCCCACCCAACCTCCTATCTAATGGGTACCAGGGGTCCTCTCCTCACCAGTAAAGCATGGCTAAGGAGTGAAGCTGACCACTCACCACCATCTAGTGCCGAGGTCAACGAGTAAAAGTCATACCTCCATTCTCCATAAGCACCTTCATTGCAGCTTTACTGTTTTGCCCATAATCAAAGCAAGAACCTGAATAAGACTTGCAGATTGCCACTCTTGCAACCCACTGTACTTTTAAAGCACATGCACATTGTGCAACATATTTTAACACAATTCTCTCTCAACTTTGTCACGGCAGTAAAGCATTACATCAAGGACGGACGCAATACCACTAACACAAGAAATGAAATGTTTACAAAAATACAGTCTCTGTGATTAATAAATCCCAACCCAATACAGACATGTCCTTGTGCTTAATTAAGCATTACCCATGAAATTGTGTGGGGGAGTGGGGTATTTATTGCTCAACACATTATTAATCTTAGAATTACATGGAGGTGAGATAGCTTTACCACCTGGAAAAGAGCCCACCCAGGTGCTCATTGAGTAGGAGGTTGGCTGGTCTGGACATGGTGCTGAAGATAAATATCTCTCCCTGTCAGTAATCAAATCCCAGTCATCCAGCACATAATCTAGTTGCTATACTGACTGAGTTGTCCCCAGTTATGGTGGTGTAAGTAGCATTTAATATATACCACTGCCTAATTCAATTTGACTGAGTCATGATGGTATAAGTATTACACGTGTAATGATGGGAAAGCCTACACTTCATAGCGTAAGTTTTATTATACAGTTTTGTTTTTTATTTAATTTGACTATCAAATTAACCATCACAAATAACCACTGTTAACTGCTGTTGAGTCTACTTTAAAATAACCTACCAAACTACTGAGTTAATAAGTGCAATACAGTGTGAGAGCAAATTTACATACAACTACCTCTAAAGTTTGTCCCGCTACGTGCCGTAAAGTCGCTTGGGGTGAGTGGAGGTATAGCTCCTCTCTTTCTTGACCTCAGCACTAGAGGTTGGTAAGTGGTCAGCATCACGCCCCGGCCGGCTTTACCCCCGGGAAAGGACCCCTGTACCCATTGGATAGGAGGCTGAGTGGGCCCCAGCGTCGGTCTGGCCTCTGACCCCATTGGGAACCGAAACCCAGCCGTCCAGCCCGTAGCTAGTCACTATACTGACTGAGCTATCCTGGCTCATATACAACTACCTCTATCACTTTTAAAAATGAATACAATTTTAACCAACTTGCCTTTGTGCCTGTGACTGTACCATTGTAAGAAATACACTGGATCATCTCAAGCCCGTGATCTGTCCAACACACCAAGCTACCCTCATGGTAGAAATCAACAGCTGCTCCTTCCTCTAAGTCCTACAACAAAGTCATGAACAATGATAGGATGATTATTGAATAATAAAATAAGGAGATAATGAAGGTGGGTAGTTTACAAAATACTGCTCTAATTTTATTTCTGTAAAATCGCTTCACCTTCGATGTACGGATTAACATGCACAAGAATTAAATTTCTGTCACCAACTAACTTTCAGTGGAGACCAAACACCAAAAATTATAAACATATGTTCAGTAATTTCAGAGGTGAACAAGCATGACATCCTTATTATGTTTTTTTTAATGCATACATATTGAAAATGGGAAACAAAATAAAAAGCACTGTTGCCATGTTCCCATGCGGCCACAACTTTTTAAACAAAAACTTTAACAAGGAAATATTATGGTCTGAGCTACTAAGAAAGTATTGTTAAATAAACGAATAATAAGGAACATTACACCAAAACCAGTACATTCAGTACAACAATAAGATGAAGCTTGTGCGCAACACAATTTCCAAATGTGCTCTTTTTCAAAGTAGACACCATCCAAATTTGTAAATTAATAACCATACGAGTTAGTAATCCCAATATGTGCAAAACTGCAGCCAGCATATATTGTAAAATATGTGAAAGTGACCGATATTGCCATTTTAATAATTTTCAACACAAAAAATCCTCACAAAATATGCAGACAAGTATGAAGAGAAAACGCTTCCTGAACTTGTAAACTCATAGTCATAAGCAGTGACATGAAGCTAGAATTAATGCTAGTCGCACGTCTAAAAACTACCAAACATAAATTCAAATATTTAAGACTACACACTAAATAATGGCAATAGCTTAAACATATAAATATCAATTAACCTCCAATGGCACAATAATAATATTGTCATTAAAACTGACAGATGGTTCAAAAGTTGAGGGACAAATTAACAACTGATTCAAGCTATTTCTGAAAATCTGCATCTAGAATCTAGCAGAGTATAAACAGACACACTCAAATGTAATGATACACAAAACTTACCTTGACAATTGTTACCACTTTGTTAGGTTTTGAAACATTTGCAACTCGAATATCTTTAGATGTGGAGAACAACAGATTTGGGTATGCTGAAAAGACAGAGAAAATCCCATTAAGACACAATAAGAATTATATCACCCTTATTTTATTTCTTCCTCTCCGCCTTATAGATATAAGTCACTATACTTTACATACAAAAATTGGAATATAAAGAATTTCTCGGATAAACGTACTATGTTTGCCAAGTTATTAAAGTGTTATCTCAAACTATATCAGGGAGAGGACAGCTACAAAAATCCCCAGGAAAATCAAGTAAGCACAGCTTCACTTTCATGAGCATAAGACAGGCATAAATGCAAAAAACTTTTTCTTTGTGAATGATCTGAAAAAAGCCTGAAATAAATGCTCCATGCGTTTGCTATCATTTGAACCAGGCCTGAACCCGGCACGGGACCAGAACATTATCTGTGCTACTAGGCCCGGGCTCATGCAGACCTCTATGGTCAGGGAACTGCTCTTCCAGGTACTCCATCATGTGACAAAATGTGAGGATACCGCATTACGCTGAAAATACAACTCTAATCATGTTTTATGTCTGTACATCAGTCTGAAACCACCGAGAATCAGATCCACATTAACACGAGGAATAAGATCTTGAAGCAATGGTATAAGTTACCAGACACTTTGCATAACAATGTGTCTGGCTCACGGTGAACCATGTTTCTCATGGGTTTCCTCAGTAATTTCATACAAATACTGAGACAGTACATTCAAAATAGGTCACTATACTTTTTAATCCATCATTCCTGATTATTACATAATATTTTATTTGATGTTTTTTAACAATACCAGAATACAGACAATATTTGCAAATAAAATAATAAGATGAATATTTTGATGCATAAGAGGCAAAGTACGGAGTAACAGGATGGAAAAAATTACATAATAAGCAACTTCATAAAATGTAATTCTAAACACCAAACATTGTTAGGATGACAATCAAGAAGATATGATGGCCAGGGCATTCAACATACATGGAAGAAGGAGAAATATTTACAAAATAAAATTTTGATCATAAAATTTTATTCAATGAGACCACAAGACAGATGGAAGAATAATGGTGACTGGAACAATTGATTGTGAAGGTGCAACCTGTGAATGTTAAGTCTTCTGAGCTTTAATTCCATGTGGAATTGCTGAAAGATACCAATATTTTGGAGGAACTTATATTCTGCTCCCATCCTCATGGCTTAGGACATGGGGTTACAACCCAGAACACCATCACCGACATCACCGTCCTGAGAATGTCAAATCTGAAGTTGTGAACTGGCTCAGGACATCGTCAAATGGCAGGTTTTTTGTAATAACAGTGGAAGGTTCCTAACAGCAGACCCGGTGAACAACCACAAACTGCTCAAGGATGATTCTTGGTACAGTTTTGCTCTAGGCACGAAGGCAAGTGAGAAGAAAGATGGGAGGGCACTAGC